GAAGCGGAAGTGCGCGCGTACACACATACACACATGGCCCACCCACACACACACACACCCACACACACACTCAACTACAAGAAGCCAAACTCATTTGCCTTTGCGCTCACGTTTTCTGCAAAATTTATGCCAAAAAAGCAGCATGCAATACATTTTTTGTTTCTTCTGTTCTCTCTGCTTTCTTTTGGCTACCGCCTGAAAGTATGCCACAGTTGCGGCAGCTTACGGTATGCTACACTTGCGGCAGGTTTCAGTTAGTTAAGCCACCCGCCGCTTGGTGGCGCTTTACAAGCGACGATTACAAATTACACCAAGCGCTGAGCATGTGTGTGTGTGTGTTGTGTGTGTGTGTGCGTTGGTTTTACAAATTTACAATTTTAATTTTGTTGTGCTTTCTATAACTTACAGACAAGCCCGACACCAAATCGCAGAAAATGATTTTTGAAAAACTTACCTAACCTCAAAATTTGTGCGCCGGTTCCAATCACTGTGCAGAGTATCACGGTGCGGGAACAGCCTGCGCACATGTGTGAGGTGTGCAAAAACCTGGCAAAAATCAAGGCAGGCGCAGCCGGATATGAGATATCACACACGACTAAATGCATAACGCATCCGGCAGCTGTAGACGGACGGACCGACGGGCAACCGGAAGCGCCTACTCCTTGCCCCCGCCCTCTGGAGCGGCATTTCTGCGCCAGCGAGCACATCCCGTTCCCAGAAACGAATCCTTGGAATTGTTTAAAAAACCGAATGCTTATATTTGGCCACGCCGGACGTTGCCCGTTAGCGTGCCGTTCATCCCAGAATCGTACCTAGACTTTACAATAGTGTGTGTGTGGATTGTTGGTGTTGGTGTAGTTGCTGTTGTTGTTGTTGTTATTGATGATGTCTCTATAAGCAAGCCGCCTTTAGCTAACGCATTTTACTTCCTATTCTGGTTGTTGCGCGCCATATCCTTGGGGAAGGAGCGCACGGGCGGGGTACGAATGCGACGTGCCTCGCGCGAACGATTGCGCACCACCTTGGAGTGAATGGCGCACGAGACGCAGTAGTGGAGCTTGGCGTAGAGTTTGGGCAGCACATAGGTGTCCCAGATGCTGGCCTCGCTGATGTCGCGCACAGCGGCCGCCTCGACAATGTTGCGGATGACAAACTTCTTGATCGCCTTATCCTTGGGCACACAGCGGGCGCAGTTGGTGCAGCGCACGGGCTTCACATGGCCGCGATTGTGCTTGTTGCGTCCACCATTACGGCGCTTCTTCGTCATATCGGCAGCTGCATAACGTTCAATGGGCACTTGTTAGCCATTATGGCATACAATTACAGTTGGATGGCCAGCATATTTACCTTATTTAACAATTGAAAAATCCACGAAGTAAAATCCGCGTGTTCACGCCAGGCGACACTTATGCGAAAAGGGAGTTGCCAGCTGTAAATTTCGATTAACAGCAACTCTGCGCATTTGGCGTTGCCACTGGTCAGCAATTAGATACAGCGTTGATTTCTTTAACTATCGTCAGCTGTGCTGTGCGCTACGTTCAGTTAGCGCAACTGTTGAGCCGCAGTTGTTATTTGCTGCGAACTAAAATCGCATGTAATGTCCGTAATTGCTGAAAACAAATTGCATTATTTGCTGCATTTAAATGCCTTAATTTGTGGGTTGACTTGCAAATGAGTGTTAAATGTGCTATAAATGTAATAAATATGTTACTTGGCCTGACTGGATGTTATTTACGCAGTTATACATTTTTAACTATGTATGTCTTCCACCAAAAAATTGACTTTGGTTTAAATAATGTTGTCTGCTAATATATATTTTGAGCATAAGAATGGAGAAGGGTACGTAAACTCTGCACAATTTAAGTGGCCGTAGAAAAGTAAATTTTAGTTGCAGCTAAATGTTAAATTTCGTTTCAAGAAGTGATTTTAGGTGAATTTTGCTTAAATGCCGCCAAGTGGTGAGTTTGGCGTTTTTCACCACATGTTTATATTTCGCCTGGCGGCATGTGCTCCAATTTGTTGACATTGCCGCTTAATTTGCTGGACAATTGCGAGCTTGAGCCGCAACGCTGTTATATACCCGAGAAGCTGGAATGGTCTGGCACTTGGTGCAAACTTGTGCTGGATGATGGCAGCTACGTCGTCGCTCGTCCGGCGCTGCGCGCGGCCGCCGAAACCTGTTGCTTTGTGGACACTGTGGTCGCGTCTCCGGGCTACGTGGCCAACAAGCAACGCCTGTGCCGCTTGGAGTCCCTAACTCTGGCTACAAACATGGTGCAGCAGGTGGCCTGCACGATCAGCATTACGGAGCAGCTGATGCAGCGGCCGCAGCTTTCGTTGGAGCAACTGCAACAGGATGTGCGCATCTTTTTGCGCCACCTCAAGCTGATCGAAGGCTGCGCCGTGCAGCATGCACGTCTGCTGGAGCTGGGCATTGCCAGCATTGAGATAAGCGAAGTTCAGGGCACGGATTTGACGTGCCGCAGCTGCTTTGAGCTGACGCACGAGACGCCGCTGCGAATTCTGGACGTGCGTATGGCGACGGCCGCGTGCCTGCCGCGCTTGGAGCGCTATCAACCCTACGGCTTTGAGGCGCCGCTGCAGGCACTGGAGCAGCTGTTGCGCAGCGCCCACAGGGCAGAATTCCAAGGACTTCCCTTGAATGCGCTGCTCGTGGGCGCCGTGGGCTCCGGCAAGAGCTGTCTGCTGGCGGAGTTTCTGCGGCGGCACAGCTGCAATTGTTTCCACATCACCGCCTCCCAGGTGCTGCGCGCCCAGCCGGGCGAAACGGAGTCGGAACTGCGACGCATCTTCCAAGCGGCGCACACTTTTCAGCAGCGCCTACGCCCGCAGCGGCCGGTTGTCATATTGCTGGAGGATCTGGAGCTGCTGTGCCCAGCAACTAGCAGCGCGGATGCCCGAAACTCGGGCAATGCCATGCGCATTGCCGCACAGCTTTACAGGCTGATTGATGAGCTGCCGCAGCGGCATGGTGGCATTTTGTGCCTGGCCAGCAGCGGCTCGCCGGATGCAGTGAATCCGCACGCACGTCGCGCCGGTCGCTTTGGCCACGAACTGACCATCGATATGCCCACGGAGCAGCAGCGTCGCCAACTCTTCGCCGGTCTCTGGCAGCAGGAGCAGCCGACACAGCTGGAGCTGCTCACACCTGGACTGCTCGATTACCTGGCACAGCAGACGCAGGGCTATGTGATCGCCGATCTGACACTGCTGCTGCGCCAGCTGCAACAGCAAATGCTCCACCTCAACCCACCCACAGTCCACGATTTCGAGCGCCTATTAAAGCAATCTCTTTTGCAGTGCCAGCCCAGCGCTTCGCGCGCCACGGATGTGCGTGTCCTGAAGCTCGCCGCGGGCTTCGAGTCCATTGGCGGCATGGCTGCGCTCAAGCGCACGCTGCAGGTGTCCGTATTGGCTGCACTGCAGCATAGCGAGGCGCATGCGCGCTTTGGCCTGAGCCTGCCCAGGGGCCTGCTGCTTTATGGCCCGCCCGGCTGTGCCAAGACGACAATTGCCAAGTGCTTGGCCAAGGAGGCGCACATGACCTTCATAGCCACATCCGCGGCGGAGGTCTACTCACCCTATGTGGGCTGTGCGGAGCGCTTCATAACGCAAATCTTTAATACGGCGCGCAAAAATGCGCCCTGCCTCATATTTCTGGACGAGATCGACTCGCTCGTCGGCCGGCGCACAGTTGGCAGCGGCAGCGGCGTCCAACTGCGCATACTCTCCACGCTGCTCACCGAAATGGATGGCATTGTCAGCGCCGGCAGCGGCAACAGTCTCCAGCACATACTCGTCGTGGCGGCCACCAATCGTCCAGATATGCTGGATGATGCCCTGCTGCGACCGGGACGCTTTGACAAGCTCATACACGTGCCCGCACCGGACCTGGCCTCACGTCTGGCCCTGCTGCAGCTGCACGCCCGTCGCATGCCCTTCCATGCCAACGTGCAGCTGCCGGAGATTGCGGCACGCACCGATAGCTACTCCGGCGCGGATCTGTGCAATCTGTGCAATGAGGCCGCCATCGAGGCGTTCCAGCGAGACTTCGATGTCACTCACATTGAATTGCAGGACTTCGAAACGGTCTTGGCCAGACAAAAGTCCTCGCTCAGCCAGCAGCAAATCGAGAGCTATTACAAATTTGCCGCACGATATTTATAAGGAACGCAGCTCTTGGAATTATTTCATAAATATGTACATTTTTTCTATATATATAAATTTGTCGATATTTTTATATTTATATATATATATCAATTTGTACATATTTTTTATTAAGCTTGGGTTCATGCCAAGAGCTCATCTTGGACCTCAAGAAACTGTATATTAATTCTTAATCAGGATGGACATTTAATCTCTGAGATCTTCAAAAGCAAGACTTGAAATGGGGAATGTAGATCCTGTTTCAAGTCCCCGAATAGTTTAAGTTTTCATTATCAATAACATTCCCAGCTGTTGGAAGACTCTTAAAGTTAACGATTTTAGAAGGAGCCCTGCAAATCTCGGTTCGGTTTCTGAACCCGCTTTTCCACGTTGGCTTGAAGCAATCACTCGCCCTCGGTTCATAAAGCCGCTTTCTCACGGCGTTGCCCGGCTCCAAAGTAGCCAAATTTGCTACTTAATTTGAGCCGGTGACTTCTCGCCTGTTAGTTCAACGTTACAAAAACAAAGTCACGGCTTCGCAGAGCAAAATTTTATGGCTGTGTTTGAGCCGGCGACTACTCGCTTGCTAGTTCAACGCTCAAAAAATTAAGTCACAGCTTCGAATATCAAATTCGCATTTTTCAATTTTCCAAAAAAACCCGTCCACGTTAATTTGGACTTTCGATCCAGAAGGAAGCTTTTGTAAAAATTTCAGCATTCAGTTCTTACAGTGCCAAACATGATCTCGACTTTTCCCGCTTTCTATGGAAATTATATACCAAGTTTTTGTTCCTTTTTTTTGTTGTATATATTTTGTACATTTACAATTGTTGCTGCTGGGCTTAGATCGTTTCTTTGTACACAGTTCGACAGATTAGTTGGGGAAAATGCATAGATGGATAATTAAGCTGGCGCAGGAGCTGCTCAGCCGCGCTCCTTGGACACGCTGCGTCTATGATGATGGTGGCGTCTGGGCGAATCGCGTCGCTCTCGATCCCTACGTTCACGTCTCTCACGTTCTCTTTTTTGCTCTCGCTCTCGCTCCCGCTCCCGATCTCTGTCCCGTTCCTTATCCCTGTCGCGTTCCCGTTCTCGATCGCGAACTCGCTCGCGTTCTCCATCCCGTTCCCGTTTGCTGCTGCGACTGTCCTCCCGTCCACGACGCTCTCGTTCCCGCTCTCGCTCTCGCTCCCTGCCCCGCTCTCGCTCCCTTTCCGGGCTGGCCTCGCGCCTGCCTTGGCCGTGTCCATTGTGCTGTTGTCGCGCGGGCGGCGGCGGCGAGGCATTGGGTCCTTCCAGATTGAAGACGTCGCTGTCGTGCTGCCTGCTCCTGGACGCGGTTACCTCCGTTTTTGATTTGCTGCTGCTGCTTCCGCTGTATTTGTTGTCCTTGCGCTGGATTTTGGGCTGCGGCGGCTCCGCGGAGCTGGAGGAGGCGTCGGAGGAGCTGCTGTCGCTATCGTTGCCGCTGCTGGAGCTACTGGAGCTGCTGCTCTGCGCGTGCTTGCGTTTGCGTATCGTTTTCTTTTCGGCTGCCTTTTTCTTTTCTTTCTTCTTTTTCGACTTCTCGGACTTTCTCTTCTTCTCCTTTTTATCCTTGGACTTTTTGGCCTTGCTCTGCTTCTTGGACTTTTTCTTCTTCTGGCTGTGCTTCTTCTTGCGCTTGCGGTCGAGCTCACTGGACTCGGAGCTGGAGCTGGATTCGCTGTCGCTGTCCTCATCGCTGCTGTTGGCCTCGCCACTGCTGGAGGAGTCGCCGCTGCCGCTGCTGCTGTTGCTGCTGGAGGAGCTGTTGCCGCTGCTGCTGGAGGACGTAGAGCTGACAGCAGGCGCAGCATTCGCGGCAGCTGCATCCTTGAACGGATTGCCGCTAGCCAGAATCTCGGCATTGATGGCCGGCACAGCCTTGGGCGCATTCTTCAGAAATCTACGCAAATCATCCGTCAGGCCGCCCAAACCGATAGAGGTGAAGAAATTGATGGAGAAACGGGTATTGCGCGGATTATCCTTGGGAAAGAGCCCAGCCAAACTGTCCAGCAGCACATCCTCCTTGAGCTTGGCATTCAGCTTGCCCAGGCCCATATATTCGGCCAGCTCCTGGAACAATATCTTAATGAATATGCGACTCGACGAGGTCGTGTCATCCTCGTTCAGCTGTATGCACTCCAGCACATCCCAGCTGATCGCGTCCGTGAACAGCAGATGGGCAAAGAACTTGCTCACGTTGCGCAAACGATTCGTGTCCAGGCGATGCGTCGTCTGGTACGTGTCCTTAAAGATCTCCTCGAACGGCGGTATATAGATCTTGTTAATGCTGCAGAAGCGCTGCGCCAGCAGCCCGTAGAACTTCTCGTAGGTGCGCTGCTCGGCGCAGCAGTCGAGAAACATGTGGCACAGTTCCACCTCCTGGCCGGGCTTTAGCTGCATCTTCATCAGCTTGTGCGCGCACTCCTCGTAGTCCAGACTCGAGTTGATCGTCAGGTAGATGGTGCGACGCAACGCAATCAGATTCGTCTCGGTGTTGTCAATAATATCGCCCGCGTTCGCCTTTTCGCCGTCCGCCTCGCCGCCCGAACCGGACTCGCCATCCGATTCGCTGTCCGAATCCGAGCCAGAACCGGAGGAGCCACTGCCCGAGCCGCTGGCATCGCTGCCCAATATCTCGCCGCTCAGCGCCTTGTACTTTTCCTCGTTCTCCGCATAGTTATCGTCAAACTTGAAGACATCTGCGAGGAGGCGGAAAATGTATTTAAATTTCAATTTAATTAGTGTTCAGCTTTTCACGCATGTTCCACGAGTAAAAGGGGATTTGATGAAATCGTGTGGACAAATGAAGTCATGGAATGAATCTTGGGCTTGATATTATATTCTATGATAATCTTTTCACATTTCCAAATATTGTTCAATTCAATAACGAGCTTTAAACAACCGCATTCTGTTAGTTTTAAGTTTTTCACGCATTTTCCACGAGTTGAAGTGAATTTGACGAAACAAAATATTGGCATGGGATGAATCTTGGGCTTGATAATATATTTTGTGCGTCTTTCCACATTTCTAAATGTTGTTCAATTCAATTTGACACATTACTCAACCGTATTCCATGTTTTCAGCTTTTCACGCATGTTCCACGAGTAGAAGTGAATTGGATAAAATCGTGTGGATAAATTTAGTCATGGAATGAATCTTAGGTTTGAAATTATACTCTAATATTGACTTTTCACATTTCTACATGTTGTTCAATTCAATTAAACGCCTTAAACAACCGCATGCTTTAACTCTTCAGCTTTTCACGCATTTTCCACGAGTAGAGGTTAATTTGAGAAAATCAATTTTAATAAATATCTTATCTTATCGACTTAAAATTGGGTTTAGGAGCAAAAATAAAACTCACTCAGTATATCCTCAGTTTCGGTGGCTTCGTCCAGCATCATGAGATGCGTAAATTGATCATCCTCCTCAACCAGCTCGAGATCATCGACAATAGCGGGGTGATCCTTGAAGCCATCCTTGCGCACCTGGAACAGCACCTCGATCATGTACTGCACCCGCCTGTCCAGTTTACCCTCGTGCAGAATGTTGCGCAACATCTCGAAGATGGCCCCGATGCCCTTCGACGAGACCTCGGTCAGTTTCATGCCGCATTCCTTAAGAAAGGCAATGGCCACCTCCACGGAATCATCGGTGGGCATCTCCACCAGCAGCGTGAGCATCTCCAGTGCCAAAATCTCGTGCGCGACACGCTGATTGACCAAATGCCCGATGAAGCGCGTGGCGGACATGCAAACCATTTTGTCGTTGCGCCGAAAGGCGCGTCGGAACTGAATGACCAAACGCTTGAGCAGCAGCTCGCCAATATTCGGAAACTTGGAGTTGATGATGGCCACCAGAGCCGCATAGACGTGCGTGAATGTGGGCGAGGCAGCCTGCGCCTGGATAATGCTGCGACAGAGCAGGCCACGGCCGCGCACAATATTCTCGCGGAGGAGTTCCCTGGTGATGATCGCAATATTCGTGACGTTCACCTTGTTGATGTAGCCATGGATGGACTTCTTGAGCGCCTCCCAGGCAATGCGCTGATATGCCGCCGACGCCTTGTCCGTGATCTCCGCCTGCATAAGGCGCAGCTTGGCCGGCGGTATATAGGCGCCGCCGGTGCGTGAGGTGAGCAAATCCACGGTGCGTCGCTGGCGTTCGCTGATCTTTGCCGCCGGCTCGCTCACCGTGGCATTGTCCGCATTCTCGGCCGGCGAACTGGACTTGGCTGCGTCGCCTGTTTCTGCTGCTGCTTCGCCTCCAGCACTCGGTTCGCGGCGGCGATGCTGGTGCCGCTTCTCGCGCTCGCGCGCACGCTCCTCGTCGCGCTTATCGCGCTCCTCGTGCCGCTTCTGGCGCTCGACGCGCCGCCGCTCCAAAGAACTGGAACGCCGTCGCACTGGACTCACGCTGCGACTGACGCGCGGACTGCGTGTGCGTCGACGTCGGCGTCGTGAGAGACTGCGACTGCGGCTGCGACTGCGACTATGTGTCGTTGCCGGCCGCCCTCGCCGCCGTTCCTCGGCCAGCTTCTCGCGACTGCGGCTGTGACTGCGCCTGCGCACCTGGCTGGCAATTTGCGGCGGCTGCCTGACCGTTGCCTCCGCCTCCTCCTCCTCAGTGTTGGTTGCCTTCAGCTGCTCCTGCTGCTTGTCTTTCTTGTCGCTGTCAACCTTTGTTTCTGCTGTTGCGTCCACAGGAGGCACATCGTCGTCTTTCTGCAATGTCAGGCAAGATATTAATTTTAACTCTAATTTTAGCTTGAATATCTGTCGTGAATTGTCTCGAGAGCAGCTCCAAATAGTGGAGCAATGTTAAATTGGCTAGCTTCTGGCTAAATTTGGCTAGTATCAGAGGGAACCAGTTCAAATTTCAAACAGATTTAGACTTTTTTTGAGGTGGATTTGTGCAAATGTTAATATTTTTAACGTTCTATTTGGCTACTTTTAAGATTATAATTTTTAGCTGATTTTTTCGAACCAATAATTAATTTTAGCGGGAACATCCCCCTAATTTGAGCCAGGCCTTTCCGTTAGGCTATAAAAAGCCAGAATCCCTGCTCAAATCAAGGATTTCTAGCCTTTTTTTGATATGGCTAAACACAACAAGCTGGCAACACTGAAGAATGTGCATGCTCTCACGGATTGCCGTATCCACTCAAATAAAATTAAAGCCCTAATTTATCTGGCCGTCTACTCACATCGGTAATTTCGCCCTCCTCCACATTACTTGGTGAGTTGCCAGTGGCCACTGGTTCCTCGCGTGCACCATTCCCGTTTGTGGTCACAGCGTTCAACTGTTCCTGCTGCGGCCGCTTCTTCTCCAACTGCTCGTCCTTCTGCTCTTTGCCTGCTGGCTGCTGTTCTGTCTGTACAGTTGGCAACTCTGTTTGTGCCTTGCTTTCGACTGGGCTTGTTGTTGTTTCTGTCTCCTCCACAGGTTTTTCAGGCTTTGCTGCCGCTGCTGCTGCTTCTTCTTTCAGCTCAGACGTGTCAGCAAGGCTCTTTGCGTTTGTATTTCTGTCAACGGGTTGCAGCTGCTTTTGTTGTTCCTCTCGATGTGCTTCTTCTTCTTTATCACTTGTGTGCTTAACTGTATCCTTAGCTGTCGATTTCTTGACAGTTGTTGGCTTTTTCACTTGTTCCACGTCTGCTGCTTCGTTCTCGCTGGCCCGCTTGCTGCTGCCAGCATTGCTGTCGGTGCTGCTGCTGCTACTGCTGCCGGCGCTGCTGCTGCTGCTGGAGGTGTCGCTCGCGTCGCTATCGGCGCTGCTGGTTGAGCCAATGCTGGAGCTGTCGCTCGCGTCGCTATCGGCATCACTGTCGGGCATCCTTGAACTGGGATACACAATTCCAATGCGTAAATTGATAAACAATGCTGTTGAAAATTTTTACAGCTAAACGTTGGCAAACGCGGCCGCTTGTTCAGCGGTTGTAACTTTGTGAAATATGGCAACCCTTAACGGGCGCAGTGTTGCATTTGTACACAATACAATCGATATGTTTGAGCAGTTGTGGCGGTTGGTCGATAGGCAGCCGTGGAATAATTTGGCGCAAAGCGCGCTGTTTAAAAACACTATAATAGAAATGTATTAATTCATTTATCTGCAAAGTAGCCCGGGTATCAATTATCAGTCATTTGCATAAGTAGGCCTTGAAAAGACAGACAAACGGAATATAACAGACCCTTCATTTTCGATTTTTGTTATATGCAGGGTAGAACATTAGCACCAGACAACGAATATAGACGTATATAGTTTTACAGAGAGCAGCGTAGTACACATTTTAATTAATATTCGTTTTTTTTTGTTTTTCTATTTTTTCGTTTTTTTTTTTGGTTAGCAATAGATCTAAATTTGTGGTTGTGCAAAGTGTGATTGCTTAGCGTGATTGTAATTAAGCATAAACTCACACTGATCAAATTCTTTGAAGGCAAGTCGTCTCATCGGAGACCTGCTGGCACTTCTGTTGGTTAGGTAAGTGCTCAATCCGCAGCTGACTAATACCCACAATCAACTCCCAGCCACCCAATAGACATGGCGTTAAGCCAGGTGATCAACGTGATCTCCACAAACAATACCAAGCCGACCTGGTCCCGCCAGGCCATACTGACCTGGTGCAACAAGTGCTTGAACAGCGATATACAGAAAATCGAGGATCTCTGCACTGGGGCAGCCTATTGCTGCCTGCTGGACATACTCTTTCCCGATAGCGTCAATTTGCGCAAAGTGAAGTTCATCAGCAATCAGGAGATCGACTACATCAACAATCTGATAATGCTGCAGCAATGCTTTACCAAGCTAAAGATCAACAAGAGCATACCCATTTATAAGCTGGTCAAGGGTAAATTTCAGGATAATTACGAGTTTGCCATCTGGTTTCGCCTGTTCTACGATGCCAATTTCACCAAAATGCCCGACGGCTACAATGCCACCGAGAAGCGCAACAATCAGCCGCTCACCAAGGAGCAGGCCCAGAAGATTCGACGCAGTCGCACCGCCACAACGTTGACGCCCAAGCTGTCCGTACGCCGGCGCAGCCGCACCCACGAGCCAACCATTGAGGAGCCGGTGCTTGCGATCGCCAGAGGCGCAAATCGCCCGCATATTTAGAGTCTGGATTCAGATGTGCATCGATTGACTGTTGCCATTCCATTGTTTTTGTGTTTTTTTTTTTTCTCACTTAGTAGCATGTGTGTGTATGTGTAGATATTGGATTTGTTCCGGCTGAAAAGGCTTTTTCCAAATTGTAAAACAAGTTTGGGCTAAGCAACAAAAAAAAATATTCATTAAATATATATTTTGTTTAACAATCAATACATACTATATAGTCATAAGATTAGGTTTAAGCTAAGCAAGTGTGAACGTCTCTTTTATTAAACGCCCTCTAAGCCTGTTCCGGCTTGGTTGGCATCGTTTCCGGTCGCTTGGGCGCCACATCGTCATCATCGCTGCTGCTGCTGCTGCTGGAGGAGCTGGATTCGTTGGCATTGGTGCGCTTCTCGGGCACCGTGTACGGAAACGTTTGTGACTTGGCCTCAACGGCCTGCTTGAGACGCAGCAGCGCGGTGCGATTGATGTGCTCCAGTGACACATCCTTGATGGCATTCGAGAGCACCTCCAGAGCCTTGTCCGTGTTGCCCTTGTTCGTTTGTATGTCCAGCAGACAGGAGTAGGCATTGCCGATGGCACCCTCCGATATTTTGCTGCCGCGCAGCTGTGAAATGACCGTCGCAGCCAACTTCTCGTCCTGCTGTTCGCGCGCCGTTTGCAGCACACGCTGGAACATCAGACGCGGCGCACTGGACAAATACTTATCCCAGATTTGCTTGGAGGCCGGCTCCTGACCGGTCGATATCAAGTGCATCCACAGCACGTTCATGGGCCCAAGTTGATTGAGGGCCGCGTACTTCTCGGCCAGCGACTCGTCTGGAAAGGGATTTCATGTTAGAATAATGCTCGACCAGCAAATACTTTGCCGCCTTTAGATAACCTGCACAAGCAGTCTTCCTTTTTACAGGGTATCAAATAGTGCAAGCTTTCTACTCACATTGCGCCGCCAGTTCGGGATGCTTCTCCAGGATGCCTACGGCGCCGCCGCGCGGAAACTTTTCGGCTAACTTGGCGGCCTCCTCGGGCGACTTGGCCGCCTCAATCTCTGTGCTCAGCTGCTTCAGATATTGCTCGGACTTGCCGGCAACAATGTAGGCGTGGCAATAGCGATTATCAAAGGACACAAGACGCTTCTGTTCATCGTTGAGCTGCTGGCCAATGCGCTGCAGCGCCTCCACATCGCCCGAGGCGGCAATTTTATTCAAATAGTATTTGAATATCTTTGGCTGCGGATGCTGCTTGTTTGCCAGCAGCTCATCGACATATTTGCTGGCCTCCGTCAGACGATCGGCGCGGACGAGCAGCTCAATGAGCCGCGAGGTGTCCATCACGCCGAACTTTTCGGCGCTTGTGAAACGCTTTCGGTAGTCAATGGCGGCATCCAGATCATTGTGCTGAATGGCACGACGAAAGCTGGTCACGTTGGAGATCGACTTAGGCGCTGCTGTTGCAGCTGCTGCTGCGCCCAGCTTGGGCTCCTGTCCAGACACATTGGACTCGTCCTTCAGCTCCTGCTTGGCCGCTGCCTGCTCCGTTTTGGCTGCCTTGAGGCGTCTGCTCTTGGACTGCTGCGTTTCGGGCACCACAAACGGCACCTCGATATTCTTGCGCTGCAGCAAATCGGCCAGCTTGAGCAGGAACGCATCTGTGGGCGTGAGAGCCTCCTCTTGCATTTTGGTCCACAGACCCAGCGCCTTTTCCGTCTCGTCCGCCTTGTCATAGCTGAGCAGCAGCGTGTAGTAAATCTTATTGCGATCAATGTGACCCAGATCCTTTGTTGCCTCAATCAGACCCTCCAGCGGCTGGAGCATGCCCTCGTTCTTGTAGCGATCGCAGGCGTTGCTGATGCGCTGCGGCCTGGTGCGCAGTCCAGGCGTCTCCAGAATCTTGCGCGCCTGTCGCACCCGACCGCACTCCACAAAGGAGAACACCAGATCGTACAGGCTGTTGACCTCGCCGTGTATGCTGGTGCTCAGATCTGTGAGACGCTGCAGATTCGCCGCATCCTCCTTCTGGATGAGGCGGCAGGCGAGCTCGTTCTTCCACGGCGTCGCCTTGTGCTGCTGGCATATCTGCTCGAAGGCATCAATCGCCTTGGGTATATCATCGCGGGCCAAATGCACCTTAATCAACGGACCCAGCACCACATTGGTGGGCACCACATAGTTGCCCGCGACAAGGGCATCGAAGATGCGCTTCAGTTTCTCCGCATCGCCCGTTTCGGCAATGGCATTGAGTATGCGCCACACGGTGCTCGTGTAGTTAAAGCTGCCCTCGCCCTCGTTGTGGGGCGCCTCCTTTTGATTCTCCTGCAGCAGCTGCAGCGCCTCCTGCTCACGCTCCTCCTGCAGCAACAGATCCGCGAGCCGCACCGCCTTAAAGTTGTCCAGCTTGAAGTTGGGGTCCGCTTGGCGCAACTTGTTGTACTGGTTCAGTGCATCGGAGCTGCGCTTGTGAAATGTGTACAGATCAATGAGCTGTGCAAAGATGCCGATGGGTATCTGGAATTTATCCTGCTCGAGACGCTCGATCACCTGCAGCGTCTTCTCGAGGTTCTGCGAACGGAAGCAGGCATTCAGCAGCTGACGCTTAATGTTGTTGGCATTATCGCCCTTGGCCTCCACATTCTTGATGAAGCGTTCCAGTTCTGAAAGAGGTAAATAGTTTGGTCAGGCATTTGAGTATATCTCGTTCAATTATTAGTCGGTCAACCACAAAGTTTTTTTTTTAATAATTTGGTCTGCCGATTGATCATCAGTTGTGCAATAAGCTCATCAATCAATAAAATATGTTCGTCAATCAGCATGTTTATGTGTCAACTGAGTATAATTAACAGTCAATCAGACAATCAATGTGCTGTTAGTCAATCAATGATGTATGATAGTCAATAGATCAGTCAATGTTAAATATGTAAACAGTCAAGCTGTTAATCAGCCAGGCATCATTAACAAGATATCCATTCAATCAATCGGTCAATCAGACAGTCAATAAATCAGTAATCAATCTGCCTTCGGTCAATCAATGCTGTAGTATCGTAATCAATCAGTCAGTTAATAAGCCAGCTCTACTTTCAATCAATCATTCAACTAGTGAGCCAATCAATCAGACAGCTACTCAGTAACTTGTTATATCAATCATTTGATAAAATGAGTCTTTTAAACAGTCGGTCAATCAAAAAACTATGTGCAAATCTCTCTCAATCAGCAAATAGTTCAATCAGTTAGTCATTTAATCAGTGTCAGATAATCAATCAATCAATCAATCAGTCAATCAATCAATGTCTGTCCCCCAAGCTGTATGTTGGTCAACTTACTAATACTTGGTTAAAGTTTTACTTTATCGAGACATCAATCAGTCAATCAATCAATCAATCACAGCCACTCACCATCAACGGTCAACGTGTCCAAGGCGCGTTTGCCGCTATTGGGCAATGGAATGGGCTCCAGTTCACCCGAACTGAGCTTGCCCAGCTCCTCGGCAATCTTGGGCGTCATCTCAGAGCCCAACAGTTCGGACAAGGCGGTCGCCTTGGCGCTGCTTATGGACAGACCCTGCTTGACCAGGCCCTGCAAGATTTTCTCCAGCACGGGCACGCGTTCGCGCCGGAAATAGATGGCCGCATCGTGGACAATGGTGCCCACCACATCGATCGTATTGCGTTCGGGCGTGGCATCGGCCTCTGCATCGCTAGCGACGCGCTCTCCCTCCTCCGCCGCCTCCTTGCCGGCGCGCAGCTGCATGCCCTCGTGCATTTGGCGCACACAACGTATGAAGGAGGCGAAATCGTTGGTGTTGCTCAGCGCCAGGATGAGCGGCTGGCGAAAGATCACGGGCATATAGTAGGCACGATGCGCCTCCATGATCCGGGCAGCATCCGCTATCTGATGCGTGGTCAGCGCTGCGTAGACGGCCGAGGTGACGGCCGTGGAGTTGGCCACGCCCGCATCGCGCAGCACGGTGACAACTCGCTCCCAGTTCTTCTCCTTGAGATTGGGTATGATATAGTCGCGCACCGTTTCCGAATTGGGATTCAAGGCAAACTCCTGCTGCATGCGACGCACAACGTCCAGCACCTGGTTGGACTCCACGGAGCAGAACAATGGCCAGAAATAATGCTGGCGTATGGGCAAGCCCAGCTGCTTCATCTCCTGTAGCAGCGGCAGGGCATTGTTCATCACGCCATTGGTGAGACCCGCCTCGGTGGCAATGGTCAACGCCTTGGGATTGAGGCCCTCCGCCTGCAGCGTGCGGCAAATGCTGAGGATTTTCTCCACCGGCCGATTGGCCTTGACCAGCTGGCGTATGAAGAAGGCGCCCACGTCGACGGGCTCGCCATTGACGCGGGTGCCGCGTGGCATCAAACGGAGCAGCTTCAGGGCCACATCCTCGTAGCCCTTGTTGACCAGGCGCAATATGATATTGACTGCATCCTGATTGAAGCCCGGCGAGATGCGCAGCTTGCCCAGCAGCGCGTCCACATGCTCGCCATGCCCGTGCACCGTCAGCGTGTACACAATATCCAGCAGATCCTTGTCCAGCAATATGATCTCCTTGGGCTCGCATTCGGCGAGCGTCGACTGCAAGGCCTCGATATCGCCATGGCGCGCAAAAGCGCACAAGAGCGTCGTGTAGGTATCGGCGCTGGGCTCCAAGCCCGCCTGCTTCATCACGCCCAGAATGCCCTTCGCGGACTCCAGATCGTTGGCCTGGCAGAAAAGTCAAGAGTTAGGAATTGGCTTGAATGGAATGAGGCGTGATAGGCTTCACCTGCGAGTGTCCCAGTATCAGGGAGTTGAAGACGTTCTCGTTGACCGGCAGGCTCTTGCCGCGCATGTACTCCAGGATGCGTGTGGCGCCTTCAATGTCACCCTGCTGGCAATAGCGCGCGATCAGACGCTGGTAGGTCACGCGATTCGGTTCAATGCCTTTGGCTTCGATCTCGGCGAGAAAATCGGTGGGCGCAAACTGATGCTCGTTCTCCAGATAGACACGCAACAGTGCATTGTAGTGCGATATGTCCATGGGCACATTCAGGGCATTTAGGGTCTTCCAAATCTCCTGGACCAGTGCGGTGCGCACCTCGGGCAGCTCCTCCGGCACCAGATTTCCGCAACAGCGTATGACTAGCAGCGACTGTGAGCTGGTCGCCGTGCGATGTGTGCGAATCTCGTCGAGCACCTCCTCCAAATCCCGCCGTGAGATGCGACCCACGCGACGCGCATCCTGATCCAAGCGACGTATCTGCCTGTCCAGACTGTGCTCCGCCTTCGTGGCAGCAGCATTGCTAGCAAAACCGCTGTGAAAATGCAAGAGAAAGCTATTAATCTTAATCCCTTCCAGGCACAATTTGAGGTTATGTAAATTTGGCCACAAGTTAGCAGAATTTTCTCACAGAAATTTGTTAGTAATTAATTTCGACTGAATGAACAGCAGGGCAATTGATAAAATTGCAACTATTGCCGACAATTTGCCACATTGTTTTACACGATTTCTGATTGCATTGCGTAATGCCGGGCAGAAACTTCGAAACTTACTTCTGGAACTGTCCGCACATGCAGGGCGCCGATTGCAGCAGATTGTTGCTCTCGCAGTCGCGCACCGAGTTGACGACAACGTTGCGCGTGAAGCCAGCAAAGTAACGCAACAGCTTGCCCGTGCGCAGTATGGATGCCATTATAAACTATTTATGTATTTTCAACAAAATAACAAGTTTTACACAATTTTGTCAGAGAACAAACCAACTGCAGGGCAGCGCGCACACCAGTGATGTAGCAGTGTGACCGTTGGCGTTGTATGTGAAAAATATTGAAACGCAACATGAGCATGTTTAACGCAAAAGTGAGTTACCATAAAAGCTCTCTGAGTTTACAGAGTAACGGAAATCTGCACAAAAGTAACGGAAAATCTTAAGAAACAAGATAATTTAAAAATTGCTGTACATTATATATGATAATAAGTACACAAAAATACAGTTTCTGAGCATAGTCTTTATGTTTTTGTTGCTTAAATTATTTATTTATTATTTATTTATTTATTTATTCAAATATTTTGACTTAAGTGTAAGCATTCCAAAAGGTATTATTCTTTATTTTTATTGTTATTATAATATTACTCTTATATAATTATTATTATTTTTACCCAACTATATTTATATATAATTTCAATTAAGATTTAAGATCAATTTTTAATTTTCCAGCGATATTGCAATTTTTGCGGTTTGTGCTCATTTGAGCTTTTAAGCGACGGCATTTTTGCAATCGCAAAACTCAAAGAGAGATAACTTTTTAAGAGCAGCTGAATGCGTCGCTCTCTTAGCTCGTGCAGAGCGCCAGTCAACAAAGAGCAAGTGAATGGGTTTTGTTTCTTTTTGTTTTTTTTTTTTGGCATGCCGCGTCATTCCATCACTGCAGCGCACAGTGAAGCAGACAGCTGATGTTTTGAGCAAAATTCGCTGCTAAAAATCCTCAATTTAATTATTATTTTAGATTAAAAATGAACAACAAATAACAGATAAACGCTTTTGAAATGCAATTGTAAAGTTAGCAGAGCGTCGAATCTCATTACTTGACATGTAAAAACTTTTGAGCAGATTTTCAGTTATGCTGCCCATGGTGCAGCTTTCTTTTGTCGCCACCGTCGCTGGTTGCATTCATTTTCAAAAGATTCGTTGCACATCGCGGTCGCTTGCGCTTTTGGCTCTCTGCTTGTTCTTTCCTTTCATTTACGTCGCATTGACTTTGCACAGTTTACACACACACACACATATATTACTGTTCCTGTACTTGTGCTTGTGTGCATTTGCAATTTGCAACTGTGCGTTTGTGTGTGTGTGTGTGTTGGCTGTGTTCAAGTGTTCGCGGTTCGCGCATAATTTCTTGTTTCACGGTTTTTTGCGGTTTTTCGCGTCGTCATCGCGCCGTCCGTTACATTGCCGTTGGGCCATTGCCCGTTGTTGTTGCCGCTGCTGCGGTTATTGTTGGTTGTCTTTGTTTGTTGTGCGCTCTCTTCTCTTCTTCGTCAATTTGCATTGCAGGTGCGTTGTACTTTTACGATCGCGCCTTGTGGGCGGCTCATTTTTCAACACTGGTAAGCATCCCAAAGTCGCCGCCGTCGCCTTCCGCAGATTATTAAATTTATTGCATTCGATTAATACAAACACACGCGCATAATCTTACACACACACACACACACACACACATACACACACATGCTCGCACACTCATACACAGCGACAGCAAGTGCGCGGCTGCATTACAACAATTGCATGTCTACGAGAGCGAGAGCGCACAGCGGAAGAGAGAGCAAGTCAGTGTAGGGGCGTGAGTGAGCAGACAGATGAAAATTGCAATACACACAAACAAATTTGCCACGCAAAGGCGGCCGGCACTTCGAAGCTTCCCCTGCGCCAACTGAACGCTCGCGCTCGTATGTGTGTGTGTGTGTGTGTGTGTGTGTGTGTGTAATTGACTGATTGTTCCCTATGTGCACATGTGTGTGTGCGTGCGTGTGTGTGTGTGGATGCACTTGGTGCGATTCATTTGCTTTTATTACCATTTTTGCTGGTCGCCGCCGCTGCTGCTGCTGCTGCTGCTGCTGCTCCGCCTGCGTTGGCGTCTCCTCCTCGTTTTGGGGTCTGTGCTTTTGCAATTGCACGAAGCGGCCGACTGCGACGGCGACGCGTTGACTTTGATCGGCATCGGCTTTTTTAGTGGGAAAAATGGCAACTCTGGCCAAACGTTGGAGAAAAAGTTCTCTACCCTTTTGTCAGTGTGGAGCGCGACTTTGCAATGTACGGCAACGGCAACGGCAACGGCAACGGAAAAAAAATGCACTTTGCAAGTGACTCAAAAAGAAAAATTATTGAAAACGAAACACAAATCAAACGCGAAAAACTCAAGTGATACCAAATATAATTAAATGAAATTAATAATTAAATTAAGCATAAAATTTGTAATAAATAATTTACAAACATTCAACAAATAAGTAAGAAATAAACTTTAACTGCCTTAAACAATTGTTAAACGCCGAAAAACCGATGAATTTCAAAGCCATAAAACGCATTTTTCCGCATTGACGATGACCTACGACAAAGGAAATGAAGTCACACGAACACACAGACAACACTGAGACACACACACACACACGCGCTCACGTTCACTCACACACTCAAGTGCAGCTAGGCAAGCGAATAAGTAAAACAGACGCAACGAAAAAAAAGCAGCAGGCGCAACAACAACACGGCGCTGCCCTAACAACAACAACAAATCGTCAGCAATGAAAAAGCAACAACAGCAGCAGCGGCAGCGGCAGCGCGGTTAACGTTGACGTTGCCGTCGTGCATGCACTGCGCATGCACATGCACACGCATACCCATGCAGTAAGCTCCCACACACACACACACACACACAGGCTGTGCAGTGCGCTGTGCGCTTGTGTTGGTGCGCTTTGTTCGTTGCTTGGGTGCAAAAAGCCAGAAAAAAATGATAAAAAAAAAAAGAAATTGAATAAAGAGGCAAAAAGTTGAGAAATTATTCTAAAAATATAGAAAATGCAAAAGATCAATTTAGAGCATATGCAAAAATAGCCAGAACAATTTTAACGAATGCGATTTATAACTAGGCGAGAGAGTTTTTAATACATTTTCATTTATATATATAATATATTTTATAAATATTTCATTCGATATATATATATATATTTTTTTTAAAGTGTGTACACACTTAAATTTAATATGCGCGTCATGCTCCAACGACAGTTGAATGCACTAAATGCCGCTGATAAAAATAATTTAAAAATAAAAATAAAATAAATTTATTAAAAATGCGATTAAATTGTTAGTTTGACAGCTGCTTTTCCGCGTTTTCCTGTTCAACAAATTGTGATTATTTCAGTTTAGATTTAGTTTTTTGTTTTACCCAATTCCGGCGCTGAGTCACGGACAAAAAAATTGTTTGCATACCTGGCTTGCAAATGACCTTGAATTGCTGCATTATATAGTTAAGAATAGGCAACGCTTCATGGAGTACATACATGCACACATGCATACATATACATATATATAACATATATAGCATAGCCAAAGCTGCACACACACACACTCGAATTACTCAAACCAAAGTAATCAAAACACAACCACAAACAAAAAATCACCAATTGCACATAAATAAACTAATACAAATCTACAAATTTAATAATAATAACAAAAATAAACGAAACTGCGCACGCGTTGCCTTTTTTTCAAGACCAAAAAACTAACAAAAAAAAAAAATAATAATAATAAAAATTAATAAAAAATAAAACTATTGGCAAGCAGCAAAAACCGAAGCGCAGCTCGTCAAAAGCCATGCAAGTGCGAAAGGGATAGCAGCTATTTGGCAAGTCGGCGTCGCCTTTGAGGCGCTAAGGACAATGGTTCAAGTGCAAAGAGGATGCCGCACATCGTACAACGTAGTGCAACACTCTGGCCACACAGCGGCGGACAGGGATGGGGATAGGGACAGCCGATAGGCGACAGGAACCAGGGAGACAGTGCAAGGACGCGCGCAATTGCTTTTCGTCGTTTGCCGTGCGTGTGGTGAGTTTCAGTTGCATATACAGTGAACTAGCGCTAAAACGAATCAAGCCTTAACTAAAGCTTTAAGTAACGCAACATAGAATTGGCACGGACTGCCAAAAGTCTAGAGTTTCACTTGCATTCATTGAGTTTCTTTCAAAAAAGTCTGCAAGACTCAAAATTTTTCGTTATAGTTGTCATTCAAATATTCGCACACAATATTGCGTATACGCCGTGTGGTGAGTTTGGATAGTTTCAAGCGGAGCTGCAGCCAGCGAGCAACTATTTTTAGTATGCAGCCCCTAGGCTGAGCGCTCCAGAGCTCTCTGCCCTTGAACGAGCACCATTCGATATAGCTGCCCACACACACAAGCGTGCTGCACTGAGAGAAATTCCTACACCCAACAGCAAAATTGAAATCAACTGCATTTAAGTGCTACATTTCTTATTTGAAGCTTTTACATGCTTGATAAAAGCGTGAATTTGTGTCGAAATGAAAAGAACTCAAGTCACAAACACTTTTATTTTTATTCTTATAATTTTTTATAATAATTTTTTTCATTAAAATTAACTTAGGATTGAAATTAAATTGATTTAGGTGCTACCTTACTTATTCAAAGCTTTTACAAACTCGTAAAAAGCGCGAATTCAACTCCATTTTTGTTGATATTTTCTTCAATCTTTTCTTAAACAAATACACGTAATTTAAGGTTTTTTTGTTTTAATAGAAGTTATTTAGTTTCTAAGTTTTTTCTGCGAGTGTACTCGAAGCTCTTAACACACGCGCCCTAAAACCGAACTCAGCGCCAATATCTGTGCACAGCTGGAAACCAGTTGTTTGGTCTCTGAGTAGCTGCATATGTCAGGCGAGTCAAGCATCGATATGCAGTCCCCAGCCCCCTAACCGCTGTGCCCATCCACTCCGCAGTTGGTATTGCCCCCGCGTGCCCTTTGTCCAATGTCCAAATGTCCTTGTTTAGTGAACTGTGCATACTTTGACATTGATTTTAGGTGTGTGTGCATGAGTGTGGGTGTTTCGTATGTATGTGTGTGTAGGTGTGTGTGTGTGTGTGTATGTGAGTGTGTGTGCCTTGTGGTTTCCAATTGCAGCGACGCCTCAGCTGTCAGTTGCATTTGCTGCGATGTCATTCGATTTGATTTCGCTCTGTTTATGAGCTACTTCTGAGGGTAGATAGGAGACCTGGTAGCTGGGCGGGGGGAAGAGGGGGCTGTTGGTGTTCTGGGCAGGAATAGCCGCTAACTTAATTGTTTACAGGGCTTTGAGTAAATAGATCGTATACGAAACTTGATGGCAATGTTGAAAACTACTTAAGTTTTGCAAGTCTCAAGTCTCTCAAATAGCTTTGTTGTATTTCAACACAAATAAGAGGCACATTTTTTGATTGGTTTTCGATTAAATAACTCAACTATAATATTTATGTTATGTTCGGCTCAGATATCTGTGCCAAATGTGGTTTAAATACAACATGAGCTCAATTTACAGAGGCCGAAGGCGGGAGATTATAGAAGATTATAGATTCTGAATCAAATCGGGGCGAACTACTTATATTCTATGGTTTTTTAAGCTGTGAACCAAAACTCTTGAGCCGAACCAGTTGCTCAGTTGGCTCGACCCAAAGAACACTTGTCTTAATAGATATCTAATATATCTAAATGTGTTATGATCTGCATACTATAATACTATCTACATATCCAATTTGGTGTAGCTAGTCGAACTTAAAACCAAGTCTCAATTTACTCTCATTGATATTTTGACAAGATATCGATAAGAAACTTGATAAACTCCTTTTGCGTTTGGGATGAGAGAATAAATATTTGATATCTCATGTCTCCAGCTTTCGATCAGGGCGCGTTCACATAGACGAGAGACTTTGCTAGTTCGACTCAGCTAAGAAAAAGGCTATAGTAAGGCTAAGAAGAGATTCCATGAAGCTGGACGTGCTCACAGTCCATAGAAAAGTCGACTCGACTCAGCTCTATATTTCGCTAAAGGAAAGTCCTTCTTATATGTTAATTAATATGGAGGACTTGATCATAATTCACAGCTCGAAGTTAGCTAAAAACAATGGAAACTCGTCTCAACTATTCTCTCTTAGTTCCGATAAAAAAAAACCCATCTTATGGCTAAGAAGATCTGAAGCTAGTCAAAGTCCACTGAAAATAAACGAAACTCGACTCTAATTTTGCTCAAGTTAAGAATCCCAAATGGCCATACTCCAAAGCTCGAAGATGATGAAAACTGAATGAATGTCAAAAACGTAGTCAAATCTCTTCAAGTTCAACAAGAATTGGTTCATTATTCAAGCCCAAGAACTCATATTTTAAACGTTTACCAACATTGCGTATGCGTAATTTGTGTATTGAGAAATGCAAAAATAAAAGTGCAGCTAATTAAAATAATTCAATAGATGCCACAGCAAAGTAATATTCATGGCATTTTGTACGTTGCTTTGGCAACTGCGAATCGAATGAAAAGTATCTGCGGGATACACAAGTCGCGGACTTGCCCAGATGCAATGGCAGCAACTGCATAATAGTTGTTCTTGTTCGAGTTGTGCGCGTTGTTGTTGTTGCGGCTAGTTTTTCTTTTTGCTGTCGTTGTTGTTGTTGTTGTTGTTTTTTTTTGTGTACTCTCATTGTTGAGGCATCGCCGCCATTTGCTGGCACGTCGCGACGTTCAGCTCGAGCCGAACCGAGCCGCGGCGTTGATAATGGCGATGACGTCGTTGCCATGGCGGCTGCTGCTCCGAGTACAGTCATAGAGAGCCAGAGACATTTACCCGGGTGGACAAGGGCAGGGGCAGGCGGGCGGGAGGTGAAGAGGGTGCACACTATATCGTCGCTTGCCGCATCCATAAACTACAGAATTCCTTTAAAAGCGTAAAATGCATTCGATAGATACACACAGCGAGACGGCACGCAGCACAGCGTGCACACAGATACAGATACATTTGCCCAGAGATGCAGATACAGATACGGATAGACTGTAGTACTAGGGAGGGAGGGAGGGTGGTAAGGGTAGGGGGGGGGGGGGAGGGCTAGCACAGATTGCCAAGAGCAGCTTTCCATTCTGCAGCTATCAATGTATCTGTATCTGTAGCCGAGTGTCTGTGCAAATGTATCTGTAGCTGTGCAAATGTATCTGTGTATCTGCTGTCTGTGCCTCGGTACCTCGGCAGCTGTATCTGTGCAGTTGTGCACTGTGCATTGCTCATATTTACTTGAAATTCAATTTGCAAACATATCTGACGATGTCTTTTGTTTGCCCCAAAGTTTCAATTGTTGCTGCCAGCTGTTTGTTATTTGTTGTTTTGTTTGTTTTGTTGCCGCTGCGCTTCTACTTATTGTAGTTGTTGTTGTTGTTGTTGTCTTTGCTTTTAGCTA